ATAAAAATAACTGTCATAACAAATCACCACCTAAGACTAGTGACAAACAATTGTCATCAAACAAAAAATGCTCGTTTGAAAGTTCCAAAGGTGAATTGATTATTCCTCTAGTATATCATATGCTTGGATGATGGTATTCGGTACTTCTGTGTTTAGATGAATGAAGGCATTAGAATTGGTTGTAGATGTCAGAGGCCAGTGATTATGATTTCAGTAGTATGCTATTAGACTATTGTTTATTAGTAGTGTTTCATTGTTTAGTGTTCTAGTTGCTTCTGGTTTTTTCAGTGTTAGTGGGTGAATCAGTTTCATTGATGATGTGTGTAAAAAATAGTTGGATTGTTGTATTGACAAGCATGATGCACTCTTTTTCCTCCAAATAAGTTTAGGGAGGTTTTTTAACCAGACTCATGTTTTTCATTTAGCTTTATATGTTATATTGTCGATTAATAACATACAAAATTACCCTTTTCAAAAAATGAAAAAAAACAATTATCGTCACAAATCACTATTTGAGACTACCATAAATGTTTTCGTCACAATTATAAGGCTTAATACCAAAATAAGTGTCAACTATACCGCTTTTTTCAAATAGGTGCCTAAACTCTTGTTTAGGTGCCTAACGTTACAACCGTTACCCGTTTAGGTGCCCGGGCTATCAACGACGTTAATTTATCCCGTTAGGTGACACGTGTCACAATCAGGTGATTTTGAAATTTATTTTTTAAATAAAATATTAAAAATATTATGATATTTATAAAAACATACTAACTTTCTTATATTATAAAACAACCCCAAAATCGCAAATACTAACCTTAATCCGCAGTCGCCGCCCTTTCTTGCCACGACCACTACCAACGACGTAGTCCCTGCCATCCTCCTACTCATACACAGGCGTATTTTTTGTCTATTGGCCTTCAGAATCTCGTGGAATCACCATTTTAATCTTAGGGTTCAGGTGGTTTAAAACGTTGATTCATCGTCGATAGTCTGTTAATCGGTCATGATTTCATAGGGGTTTTGGTCACCGGGGGGAGCAGAGGTCGGGGGGAGCGGAGGTCGGGTGGAGTTTCGTCCATGGCAAAAGGTAGCAATCGACGTGGGTTTAGGGGTTGAAATGAATGTTTTCAAAGTTTTGGGTTTATTTCAAAATTAGTGTTTTCTGTTTTTTAAAAAATATATAATTTTATTTTTTTAATTTTAAATAAAATTTTTAAAATCACCAGATTGTGACACGTGTAATTTAACAGGAAAATTAACATCGTTACTGGCCCAAGCACCTAAATGGGTAACAATAGTAACGTTAGACACCTGGATGAGACGAAAATTAGTTTAGGCACCTGTTTGGGAAAGACGGTATAGTTTGGACACTTATTTTGGTATTAAGCACAATTATAAATAATAAAAGTGACTACTTAATTGTCACTATTACAATTTTTCTCAATAAAATAAGTTGATGCCAATTTGAGCATTCTATTAGCGACTGATTGATAATGACAACATTATTTGGTCTCAATAAAACATTATTAGTGACGAATTACTTGTGATGAACTTTAAAATTATCACAATTATTATATAAAGAGTGACCAAATAGAAATAAGTCACAATTACTAATTCCAAAAGTGAGAAAAATAATTTTCGTCTTAAAGAACATACTTTCTATGATAAAATTATTTAATGTCATAATTAAATGGTCACTAAAAATCTTAATTCTTGTAGTGAAGTATGTTGAGGGCCATAAGGGAGAGATTTGTGCTTTAACCCAGTCGTTGCAACTTGCTCAGATTATTCAGACTTAATCACAGAGAAATTGTACTAGAATTGGTGATGGAATCTGGAAAAAATATTGGCTGTGGAGTGGAGGTGGAGTCGGACACACAAGTTGTGTTATCATGGGTGAATAACTCTAAGTTGAAGCCGTGGATGTTCTGAAAATTTTCAGAGATTTCGACATAGTTGTAAACCAGATGGAAAAGTTATGTTTTAGTCATGCGCCTCGATAGTGTAATAATATGACAGATTCTTTAGTAAAGGTTGGGATGAGGAAAGAAACAATGCCCAAAGCATGGTATTGAATTCTTGAGATATTTTATGAGTGGTTAGACATGTTTTTATTGTTTTGTTGGTGTCTTTGCTTTCATCTTATTGCTGTATTATCTGTTTTGTGGTTCTAAGGGTCATTGTTGTTCTGCTCTTTGTACTAGGCGTGAGATGTCTGTGTTGCAACGACAATTTTGAAACTCAATTACGTTTTGCTTGTATTGGATTATGGACTTTGTCCATACTATGAATAAAATTGATATTGGTGTGCAAAAAAATACTTATTTTTCTTAAAATATTATTCAGTATATTTTTAAACATAAATAATATTAATCCCGTCACTTTTAAGGGCTTCCAAAACACTGGCCATAATAACAATCATATTCACACCTTAAAGTGAACTTTCAAAATTATTCAGTCACTCACCATGTTTTCTAACAATCACCGAAAATTCTTTGTACCAGCTTTAGCATTAGCCTAGCTTTGTATGAACATTAAAGTGAAACAGAACATCAAGTTAGCATTAATAGCTTCATTGAGGATTAATTAGTTTAATTATAGACTCGAACTCAAAGTCAAATAGATTGATGGATATTAATTTTTTTTCTCAGCAATAATAATTTTATTAAAAAACCTAAATTAAGAGTCTCGTTAAAAATCTCCCTAAACCTAAATGGAAGAAAATAGTACTCTTAATTAGGGGAAGGTACACCACCGAGACACACTTTCGAACCAAAAGCAACAAAATGACACTGCATCCATACAAAACACATCCCAGTAGATTACAGACATCATAACCCAAAGCCTAAAAGCACTTATTGAGCTAAGCTAGCATAGCAACCATATAACTATCAGTCCTGCTTTTAACATATTATGTAAACCACCCATAGAACTGATCCTCTCGGAATGATCACGAGCGCATAGGAAAAGAGAAAGCAGAAAATCGCCTTGAAAGCACCTGAATAAAACGAACTTCCTTCGTATAGCAACACCTCTCCACGAAAAAGCTTAGCATCATTCCAACTTGCATTCTTGTTTCGTAAATTGATTTGCAAAACCAATACCCACTATAGGAACTAAATCAAACTTCACTCCTGAAGATTGCATTAATAACTTATCGATCACATTGAAACAGACCCACCACCTCCAAGGACTCGGACAAAATTTCAATCCACTTTAACAACGCAAAAGTCCCACCTACCTCCAACACATATCAGCAGACTAATCGAAACTATCACATCATTTGTTCTAAATACAATACTCCTATGATACCCCAACCTAAACTAACACCATTAAGACTCCCCTACCAAAGTAGTTCAGAAGATACCAACATTAGACTATGAACCCAGCTCCACTCTAAATCCCATAAATCTTTTTATGCAAATTCACATCACAAAACAAGTAACAAACACAATGGAACTGAAGAGGAAACCCAGAGGTGCCTTCAAGAACACAAACATAAAATCAAAACTTGCTAGAATGAATTTTTGTGAATTGTGGACCATAACCAGCGACCAAATTAGAATTTATGTTTCAATTGGAGAGGAGAAACACAGTAAACTTCCTAAAGCACTGTTTTAAATGACTTCATTAGGGTACCCGTAAAGCACTGTTGCAATACTCCACCAGCACCGATTGACAAAGGGGACAATAGAATAAGATATTTCTAGAAGAATCAATTTGTAGCAATTCAAAAATCGACAAACTCTCCTACTCAAAGACATGATCCTTCCTTCGCAAGAAGATAAAACAAAATAAAGCCGTCTAAAACGATGTCAACCGTCTCTCCATGATAAACACAAGAACAAACCTTAACAACTTTTGATTAAAAAAACTGTTAATTGGCAATGCCCTTTGAAACAAGATGCAACTCCACCAAAACAGTCAACAGGAAAAAAGATTGATTCAGAGCTGCAGGAGAAAAAAACTAACCTTGATCTCTTAACCCCAATAAACACCGATAAAAACAAACAAAATAGGGAGACAACAACCAGAATTGCCCAAAGAAAAGCAGCGCCTACACATCCCCCTCCTCCTTTAAACGAGCTTATTATATAATTCTAGCAGAGCCAAATCCTTAATAACCTCAAGTTCATTTCCAACTATCTGAATCCCCAGCTTCTTACTCAGTTCTAGCGTCTCTACTGTCTCCCTCTTCACCGCTTGCCACCTAATTTTGATATCAGAATCTTACATGGATATTAATATAAAGGAGTTGATTAATTCTTTTTCTAATATTGTTCATGTGGTGGCTTATTTACTTGAAGAGATAAAAAGTCACCACAGCAAAACTGTTATACAGCAGTGTTTTTAGCGGTGTTTTGAGGGTAAACATCACTAACTTTAAATATATAGCGGCTTTTACATTCCAAACGCCACAAAATGGTAACTGTAACTATGTTTTTATACAAACGCTGTAATAGGGTTCATCTATAATGACATTTCTTCAACAAACGTCGCAACAAAGTAGTAATTTAGCGGCTTTTTACAAAAAACACCGCAATAGGATTAATCTATAGTGGCGTGTTTTCAACAAAAACCGCAACAGAGTAGTACGTTTGCGGAGTTTTTATACAAACACTGTAATAGAGTTTATTTATAGTGGTGTTTTCTCAACAAACGCCGCAACGGAATAATACTTTAGCTGTGTTTGTTGAAAAAATGTTGAAATAGAGTTTATCTATAGTGACAATTTTTCAAAAAATGCCGTAACAGAGTAGTACGTAAGCGGCGTTTTTATTCAAACTTTGCAATAGGATTCATCTATAATGATCTTTTTTCAACAAACACCGCAATAAAATAATATATTAGTGGTGTTTTTATACAAACAACGTAATAAAGTTAATCTATAGTGATATTTTCTTAACAAACGCTGCAATAGAGTTCATGACGTTTGTTATAAAAATGCCGTGGCTTTTTTTACTGTAAACGCTATGAAAGGATAAATATATCTCCCCTTTTCTCCTAACCGATCCCTAATTCGTTTGAACCTCTTCTTCCCTATCTTCCCTCTTTTTCCTGTAAACTGTCATTATTGCTTTGCCTTTCGATTGTTGCTTTGTTGCCGTCGTTCCCCGATGAAGCCCAAATCTACCATTGAATCTAACATTTTCAGCCGTCACTTTGCTTCCTTTGGTAAAACCTGCAGTGCCCTATCTCTTTTTTCGGCTTACGATTTCAAATCTCAGCTTGGATTTAATATTATTCTATTTGAGTGAAATTTAGGTTCTACGTACATGGAGAAAATAGAGAGCTGTTTAATTGTAAAACTAATTCAAATAAACATGGAAGGATTCAAGCTTCTGTAAAATATATTAAAAAATCATTTTTCTATCATTTTTAAAAAATGTGTATCCTTTATCAGTGATGATAGATTCTCAAAACTTGTTCACTTATTAGAATCAATGTTTTTTTTCTTCTATTGTTGTTGAAAGTTCTCTGTATAACTTGAGAATTTTTGGTATGTCTGGATACAGACTGTTGAAGGGCAAAAGAAAAAACTGGAGGAAAGTGAACAATTGCTAAACCAAAGGAGGTTAGTTATTGGTCAAATTGTGTTTTCTGCAAATTTTCTACTTGTTGAATGTGTGTTCATTTGATATTCTTCTGATTCTAAGGATCTGATAGCCAATTACCGAAGCTCTGTGGAAGACTTTGTGAAGACTGAGCCATAGATGCTTCTCACTTTACTAGGCACAAGTAAAAAATGAATAGTGAACAATATGATAAATATTTTCAATAATGGTCGCAGTTTGTGCTGTTTACTTTTAACATATAAGTTTAATGTCCAATTTGAGTGAGGCTTTTTCATAAAAAATCTTGATTAAGATAAGCAATTTTGCATTGCCTTTTTGTAGTTTGTCACTGTCTAAAATAAGTAAAAAATTGCACAGATAAATAGAATGATATGGTTTTGTGAAACCATAAATATATGGCTCGAATTCTTAGTCAATCCTTTGACTTAGGATTAGCAGTAGAATGTCACCTATGTTGTTATAGAGTTTAAGATATCAAGATTAAGTGAGGATAAGTAGTTTGAGAATGGATATTATATGGGTAACAATTATGTGCAGACCATTATATATCTCACGCAAGCACAAGAAAGCAAAATGAATCAAACCTCAAACACGTTTTTGGGTAATAGAATAGGAAATCTGGACCTTGTTGAGTAGTTTTTCTCTATCTGAGAGCCTATCTGTTATCAAACTTTACTATTAAGATCGAGTCTATTCTTCTAGAGGTTTACACTCTATCATGTTGCATCGATAATGCAACTTTGGCCTCTTGGAAATCTATACGCTGATGTTACATTGTTTACATCTCAAACATTGTATTGTTATTATACCAGTCATCTACAGTGCAAATTTCTTTAAGAGCGTTAGTTTTAAAGAGAACAAATATGAATTCTTATTCTATTGTCTTTGAAAACTCTTGTAGCAGATTGTGAAGTTGTTCACTGTTGTTCTAGAGCTGTTGAATTAGATTCGTATGTTTTTTCACTTAAGATGTTCTTCCACTCTTGTATAAATACTCCTCTGCTGCATAAAGATAAACAAATGCACTAAATTATTTAAGCGATGAATAAAATGAGGAAATACTCAGGTTCATTGATCCTTAATTCATTGCCAAATAAAAAAAAGAAAGAATAATATAAAATTAAAATAAATAGTAGATGAAGTTGAAGAAGGTGTATGTAGCCTTTAAAATCAGACAAAACCCACCACAATAACCCAACTTTTTTTTTTGGAATAAAGAAAGTGAAATAATCTGGTGTTTGTTTACACATCGAAGTAAGAAGATACCTTGTTGATTAGGCCGGTTCATTTCATTTGTAGGCTTTCCATTTCAATTCTCATTTTGATTTTATATACTATAAAAATATATACGAATTAAGAAAGTGAAAGAATATGGTGTTCTTGTTCTTCTCGTCCTCCTCTTTCTTTGTACCTTATACAATTTTTGTTTAGCTTCTGCTCAAATGTCTAAGTATTTCTTTGTACCTTAAACAGTCTTTGTTTAGCTTCTGCTCAAATGTCTAAGCATTCTAAATCATGACTTCTAACTCTTTACATGAATATTGAAAAATGCAATAGAAATTTGTCTTGTAGTATTCTGAAGCTATAACAGTAGGTAAAATAATGTTTTTATTCCCTTATGTATATGGGTAAAAATAACATTTGAAATTGATATTCCAGAAATTAAAATGGATAAGAGTTGGAAGGATTTGTCAAAGGTAAGCGACAAATATCGAAATGGAGTCGAAATTTTTCTAAATTTACCTTTTTTTGAATGCAAATGAAGAGAATATGATTCTTTGCCGTTGTAAGAAGTGTGCTACCATTAATTGACACATTCGTGAAGTTGTCTATGAGTATCTAGTTGCTTTTGGCTTTGTTCGGGGCTATAGAAAATGGATATTTCATGGAGAGTTTACATTTCATAGATATTCTTCCACGAGTTATTCGATTATCCTTCTAGTTCTCACCATCGATCTGTTAGAGAAGATGACTAGGAAGGTATGTTGCAAGATGCATTTAATATGCACAGTCATCATCAATCTGTTAGAGAAAATGATTGTGACAATGATGTTAATGATTTCACTGAGATGAGAAGAAGTGGATGTGCTGAAGAGCCAAATGGAGAAGCGACAAAGTTTTACAAGTTGCTTAATGAAATGAATGAACTTTATGAGGGATCAAAATATTCAAAGCTCTCTTTTTGCATTCATCTTTTCCACTTAAAATAATTGGGAGGGTGGAATGGTAACTCATTTATGCAATTATTAGAGTTTCTGGGAGAAATGTTTCATTTTGCAAAAATCCCTCAATCATGCAAAGATATGAAGAAAATGATAAAAGATTTTGGTCTTGGTTATGAGAAAATTCATAGTTGTCCGAATGATTGTATATTGGATTGGGGTGATAAAAAAATCAGGAGTCTTGTCATGTATGCGGAAAATCTCGATGGATGATTAGGGACACATAAAATATGAGTGAGGATGAAGTTGAAGCACGATCAAGAAAGAAACCAACAAAGATTCTGCGATATTTTCCTCTAATACCTAGGCTTCAAAGACTTTTTATGTCCTCAAAGTTTGATGAGTCTATGAAGTGGCATCATGATGGAAGAACTGATGACATATTAATACGACATCCTGTGGATTGTTTAGCTTGGAAGTCATTTTACAACAAGTTTCTAAGTTTTTCTAGAGATCCTCGAAATGTCAGGCTCGATCTAGCTCTGATCGGTTTAATCATTTCAAAATCATGAGTACTTTGTATAGTACTTGGCCTGCTATACTTGTTTCATACAATTTGACTCCGTGGATTTGCATGAAACAATAATCTTTTATCTTATCCATGATAATCCTTGGCGAGAAAGGTCCCAGAAATGATATTGATATTTATATATAGCCTCTTATTAAAGAGCTGAAACAGTTATGGGTAGGGGTCGAAACATATGATGTGTTGAAGAAGGAGAACTTTAATTTACGTGCAACTTTATTATGGACAATTAATGATTTCCCTGCTTATGTAAATTTATCTGGTTGGAGTACAAAAGGTCATTACACTTGTCCTTGTTGTGCTGCACAAACATGTTTGAAGTGGTTGTATAATGGAAATAAGTTCTCTTATATGGGACATTATCGGTGGTTAGCTAAAAATCATAGATTTAGAAGTCAAGAGAATATGTTTGATGGTATTAAATAGTTCCAAAAAGCTCCTAAGCAAACAATCGTGTCTGATATCTTCTCCATGTTGAAACATATCAAGTTTACTTATGGAAGGATGAATCAACCACCGAATACACGATCAAAGAAAAGGCAAAACAGGTGGATGATTGTGATGTTGACCAATAAAGTGATGATGACTCTGATGAAGATGATGATCCAAATAAGGTAGATTTGTGGAAAAAGAGGAGTATTTTCTTTGAGTTGCCTTATTGGAAGGATTACATTTTGAGACATAATCTTAATGTCATGCACATTGAGAAGAATGTTTGTGAGAATATTATCAGACTATTCTCAATGTCGACAGAAAATCTAAAGATAATCTAAAATGTTGACTTGACTTAGTCAACATCAAAATTCAGCATGATCTTTATCTGTAGTTACATCCTAATGTAAAATATTTCTTATCGCATTCTATTTTTGCGATGTCGAAGAAAGAAAAAGAAGTGTTTTACACAGTGTTGAAGGATATAAAGGTCCCATATGAGTATGCATCAAATATATCTTGATGTGTCAGTGTAACAACCCAAAAATCGGGTTAGTGACTAAAATGAAAGTTTTTGAAATTTGATGATCAATTTTGGAAAAATTGAAAAGTTTATGGACTTAATTGGAAAATCTTGATATTTGATTTAGTAGCAAAGTTTGAAAGATGAGAGGGTATAATGGTCTTTTCATAAGAAAGATTTTTATTTTTCCTTTTATGAGATATAAAATACGTGGAGATAAAAAGAAATGAAAGAGAATTCTGGAGACTTGATTGGCTTTCTTCTTCTTCTTCTCCTCCCGTGGCTCCATTGGTAAGGTAAGATAGTCTCAAGTGAATGTTTCCATTCATTTTTTAAGTTGGTTTTAATTATTGAGATGATAAAAAAGCTTAAGATAGCTTAAGGGAATTATTGCTTAAGGGAATTATTGTGATCATGCATGAACAATTATTGCTATCACATCATACCCAAACATATATCCATTCATATATCAAATCCGCACATTCATATAATTATCTTCTTTCCTATCATTATCATATTATTACCATTCATATTTATATTCCCTTGTTTATATGATCAATTATGTTCATATCCTATATCTAATTACATATACAATAATCACTAACACACATATATCATATCATATAATTCATATCACAAAACACACACATATATATATATATATCACATACATTGTATTCAATGTTATCTCTTATTAGCCCATGTACAAATGCACTAATACTTTTTATCATATAAACCTATACTAAACATTTCTATACCCATCATGGTACACATATATCAGTTCACAATCGAACGCACATCATATAATATCAATTGATTTATTTACTCTCTTTAAAGTCTATGTATTAGCCCATGTATACTTTTGAGAACTTAAGGTATGTGAGTACATTGAGGTTGTGCACCACTATGATGTCACCACAGCTCGTATAAATGTCCCGAAGGACCTATATAGAGGTCATAAAAAACCTCGACAACTATCCATAAGTCCCGAAGAACCTAGGTAAACTGTCCATATGTCTTGAAAGACATATGTAATTCTGTCCATATGTTCCGTAGAACATAGATAAACCCTCAACTCTTGGCATGCCAACTATACCCCTAGCTCTCATATCAAATAACATGGGCATTATCTTTTATACATTTCATATCACTTGTTCTTTCACATAGATCTCTATCACATTTCATATGATCACATATTTCTTTCTCTTCTGTCACATACCATATGTATGTGTAAACATATATCACATATGCATATAACTCATAACTCTTTTATTTTATATCATGTAATATCCTTAC